TTGAGTATGAAGACGAAACTGACACCGATGATGAGGACCAAGTTGAAACACGGGATGAAGACTCCGAAACTTGTCAAGAGGGCTCTGACGATAGTTCTGATAGGTCTGAGTATGAAGAAAATGCGGATTACTTTATAGGAAAAGACAAAGAGACCCAATGGAAAAAAACTAAGTTTACCTATCGAGTGAAACATAGACCTCAAAACATATTAGTTCGTCTCCCAGGGGTCATAGGATCTGCCAGAGAGGCCAAAACAATTTCCGAATGCTGGAAATATTTTATGAGTGACGAAATATTGGAAACCATTGTTCAATACACCAATACATATATTGAGAGTATTAAATCACAGTTTTCACGTGAACGAGATGCAAAACCTACAGATGTGATTGAGCTAAAAGCAGTTGTAGGGCTGCTCTACCTTGCAGGCGTACTTCGCAGTAACAGGCAAAGTTTGGAAGAATTATGGGGAGAAGATGGGTATGGAGTTGAGATGTTTCGCCTTGTGATGAATTTAAAGCGCTTTAAGTTTTTGCTGCGTTGCCTCCGCTTTGATGACAAAAGAAGTCGCGAAGAAAGAAGAAAACAGGACAAGCTGGCTGCCATACGCGAAATCTTTACCCTATTTGTTACAAATTGTAAAAAAAATTACTCGCCTGGAAACAATGTTACTATTGATGAAATGCTTGCCGGTTTTAGAGGAAAATGCCCATTTCGTCAGTATATACCCTCTAAACCAAATAAATATGGTATAAAAATTTTTTCACTGGTGGATTCCAAAGTTTGGTACACTTATAATTTGGAAATTTACCCAGGAAAACAGCCAGACGGGCCATTTCAAATTAGTTATAAACCATCTGATATAGTCAAAAGGCTTGCAGAACCTCTATATAATACCGGGCGTAACATTACAGCCGATAACTGGTTTACGGACATTCAACTCGTAGATTTCCTTCAGAAAAAAAAGTTGTCCTATGTTGGGACAGTTAAAAAAAATAAAAGTGCGCTTCCCTTAGAATTTGTTGCAACAAAAAACAGAAAAGAGAAGTCTAGTTTATTTGGATTTCAAAAAAATGCTACGATTGTTTCTTATGTTCCAAAAAAAGGGAAAAACGTAATATTGATATCCAGTATGCATTTTGATGATTCTATCGACGCGGCTACAGGTGATAACCTAAAACCTAACATAATAACTTATTATAATAAGACAAAAGCAGGGGTCGACCTAGTCGACCAAATGTGTGCAACTTTCAATTTGCAAAGAAATACAAGAAGATGGCCATTAGTTGTATTTTTTACAATGCTCAATATTAGTGGTATAAATTCTCAAGTTTTGCTCACAGGAAATGGAATTGCCACAGAAAAAAGGCGCAACTTTTTGAAAAAACTTAGCAGGGAGTTGGTTGATGAACATCTAAATCGAAGAGCAATAAAAAAACGGGGAATACCCTCCAACCTAAAACAAAACTTGCAACAATTCAATCCTACTGAGGACTCGCAAGATGAAAATTCAGCTGCAGCTTTAACAAATAAAAGGAAAACCTGTGGACCATGTCTAGAAAATAAAAAACGGAGGTATTCGAAATACTTTTGCCAGAACTGTGCCAAATATTTATGCTTGGAACACGCGACAATCGTATGTGAGAACTGCTATCATTCGAAATTTGATGCTAGTGATAGTAATGAAGTGGTTGAAGAAGATTAAGTTTTGTTTTTTATTATTTTAATATTAATAATTATTTGTTCTTGTTTCGTTTTTTTTTCTATTTATTCTAAGACGTGTTAATTTAATAAATACTTGTATAAAACTCTTGTCTTTTTCAAAATCCTGTTTAAAATCTATTTTTATTTCATTTATTTATAGTAAACAAAACATTTTTATATAACCATCTGGTAGATGCATTGCGCCCGAACTCGCAACTTTAGTATTGCGCCCGACGGAGGGTTAAAAGAATCGATTTTTGGCTAACCCTGTATATATTAAATGATGTGCACAGTTTAAACAGTATTCTCCAAATCTCCTTAACAATATACTCCAATATTATTAAAGTCGGTGTACAAATGTGTACTCTGTCAAAGGTAGACATTAAGATAAACAAAAATTGAAAAAAAAATCATGAATTTTCAAAAAATTTCGAAAAGAGGAGCAGCTAGGATTTTGGTAAATATCATTTTTAAGTCACCAAAGGGTCCCGAACAAGAAACTGCAATCAGTTTTTGGCGTCATTTTTATGTGACCTAAACTTCGTTCAGGCACACCGTGCCTAGTATGAAGCAATAATCTGATATTTCCAAAACATCGTGAATGGCAGAGTTAATTATTTCTATCAGAGATAATTAAAAGATCTAATAATGTAGAAGTAGTTTGCGTTACCCTAGTAGGGTTTTAAATGGTTTGTTTCAGGTTGTATGAACTTAAGACTGAGTTAAAATTTAGATTTATATCAGTTAGACTAAATAAGGACTAAGTTCATGACAGTAATATATCAAATCTTCAAAGTCTTTTAAAAAAGTAACATTTTGTGCTTTGGGTGGTTTATAAATAACAGAGACAATAAGCTTAATTGAATTGCATATAATTTTCAATGTTAAACTTTCAAAGGTACTTACTTTAGGAATATTAAGTGTAACCTTGAGTTCACTTTTTCTATACACAGCAACTCCTCCACCTCGACCTTCCCTATGATTATTTTAACAATTAAATCATTTGCCCTTTGTCAATTTTTAAAATTGTTTTGATAGTTTTTTGGTTTGATAAATAGGTATAGTTTAGTGTTTTATTAACCTGTCCAATATGAAATAAATAATGGCAGTAACATACAGGGTTAAGTTATGAACATAATTTTAAAAAAATGTTTATAATCTTATGTCGTTCCTTTTTAAGATACAGGGTTTACAAGTTAAATTTTATTTTCTTCCTTTTTAATAGAGCTGGTTTGTGGGCAAGTTACCTTTTTTATTAGTTTAATAATAGTATGATATACTATTTTTTTAAGCGTTTAAATCAGTTATTCCTTTAAGATTTTTGGTTTTTATGTTAGGTTCAAATTACAGATGTCGATTGTATGTTAAAAATGTGAATTTGTGAATATAGTGGGATGGGGTGGTTCGTTTTGTGACTTTGTGTGACGACCAGGGGGGGCAAATAAGGTCGAAAATCGCGTGACATATTATGCACCAAATAGCGATTTTTTCCGCACGCGTGCGGGTACTATGAAGGTAAAATGAACTTCCAAATGTTATCTGGGGCGAAAGGTCTCTTGAGAAAACATTGATAGTTAATAAATAACATTTTATATTTTTTGTTTATAGACCTCTTAGTATGGCCAACAAAAAAATTGAATATTTTATTTTGATAAAACTATATCATGATTATTACTATTTAATATAACTTACAAATGTATAAAGGACTAAGAATATAATCATATCTACATCCAACAATGTTTTTGCTAAAATATTAAACATACATAAACCATAAGTTATTTTTATAACCAAGTAATGCTGAATTAACATAAATTGGTCTTTATACAACATGACACAAATAAAAAAGTAAACATTTTTCAGTATTCCAAAAAATATGTTTGCCACCGGTCTTGCATTTATAAATTATTTATATTATTTAAAATTTGGTATATTTTGCATTCTAGGTTGTAGGAGTTTGGCTTCGGAAATTCGTAGTATTGTCAATTTTTGAGATAAACAAATCATTATTGAAGTTTATGAAAGATCGTGTACCAATTTACTCTAAACAATCATTTGGACCTAAGGTTTATTATCTCAGAGCGCGTCACATAGAGTCCACATTATCACATAAGGGCGTATCTCATATTTAACAATTTTACAGAGCATTTTAAAGATGAAAGTTTTTTGAAATAAAAATGTGCAACAATGTAATGTAATACCCAGTAGCACACTTTTTCCAAAAAAATAATTTAAATTAGCTAAAAACTGTCAATCTTTAAAATGCACTCTAAAATAATTAAATATAAGATATATATCCTTGTGTCAGTGGCGGCTGGTGGATTTTGGCACACCCATATCTCAGTTATTAGACATGGGACCCACATCAAATTTATATGAGTTTATAATGACATTATATAGACAAGTTCTGCGCAAGCAGAATTTAAATTAAAGTTTGTGAAAAAAAGGTAGTTTTTAAGTGCAACCCCCAGCCTCCTGCCCCCCAAATTAAGATAATTCAAATTAAAGTGGTACAATATTTAATTCACTGAAGTTTATCGACAAATTTCAAATTTTATTAAAAAAATTCAAGTATTACAGATTTTATACCATTTTAATGTTTTTTAAATTTAGTAAAGTAAATAATAAAAATTATAAATGGTATAAACCTGTAATTCTTGAATTTTTTTAATAAAATTTGAAATTTGTCGATAAACTTCAGTGAACTAAATATTGTACAACTTTAATTTGAATTATCTTAATTTGGAGGGGCAGGAGGCTGCAGGGGTTGCACTTAAAAACTAATTTTTTTTCGCAAACTTTAATTTAAATTCTGCTTGCGCAGAACTTGTCTATATAATGTCATTATAAACTCATATAAATTTGATGTGGGTCCCATGTCTAATAACTGAGATATGGGTGTGCCCAAATTCCACCAGCCGCCACTGCCTTGTGTGAATGTGTTCTTTACAGCAACTTTAATATTTTTTGACCTAAAAACCAGTCGGACAATATTACTGAAACTGTAAATGTCTTATTAGTGGACTACAACTTCAATTTCTTCTCGTGACTAAATAGAATGCCTTCCTTTATCAATAAATAATATTGATAATAACATTTGTAATTTATAATATTAAAAATATTTTATCAATGGGCGATTTATAGTAAAACTACCAAGAACCACAATGTTTTAAACATTAAAAAATACCTCAAAATTACCTTCTTTAAATTTAAAAATAAATTAATAAAAAATAAAATAAAATTTACAGTTGCAAAAGTATAAAAATACAAATAAAATGATATTCTAGAATAATATTATGTTGAACACTATAAAAAAATTATTTGTATATATATATGTATATGTATGTATAAATATTTACAAAATAGAAACTCAAGCATCATCAGTCTCCGACTTATCATCGTTATTTAAATCCCTTGATCCAAATGGGCTTGGCATGTGTTGATACTGAGGCTTTAGATTACTCGCTGGTCTACTATAATCTAGGTGATCATATACTACATCTGAAAATAAATAAAATAAGTTTATACCTACAATTTTATTTAAAGCTTTTACATATGGGCGTTTTAAGCATATAAATACATTTTTATTACGAGTAGTTCTTGAGTAAGTGGATTTTAAAAATTAAATTTGTTATTGTTATAAGAACCATGGGGCGCAGATATGATCAAACCCTTGGATTGTAGGCTCCCTAGGCCTATAGCTATTATTTACAAAGTATAGCTTTTATTTACAAGGTATAGCTTGTATTTACAAGGTAATAATATAATTTTTATTATCATTATTATCATTAACATAAAATTTATAAATTGGAAAGAGGCTAGCAGTTCTCAAAATATTTAAATAGAACTAAAAACCGTTTAAAACCAAATTGTTATAACTTTGTTGTTCCTGCAAATTTGAAACCAAGTAAGTTTTACATGTAGGTAAACATATATGTGTATGTATACACATTTATTTATATATTTATCCAATTTCTTTACTACTATGTTTTAAGTTACCAATACCATCTTTTGTTTTTATAATGGCCGCCATAACTTATGTAGTTTAATACATTATTGGATTCTCTGGGTTTTTTTCTAATCATGTAAAATTCCAATATAGCGGTCATAAGAAAAACAAAAGATGGTGTTGGCGTTTTAGAGGAGAACGCATTTTTACATGCAAAATATTTCTGAAAAATTATTTCTGATTTTAAATAATTAAACAGAAATCTTTAATAAACCTAATTTATTATAATCCTAATTTTAGAGGAAAAAGAAAAGACCGTGGTCAAGCGCGCTAGATGGAGAACAAACCGAGAAAGTTTAAAAACGGCTTGTCGCGTGCAAAATATTCAAAAAAAAAATATTTCTGCCTTTGGATAATTAAAGAGCAGTCTTTGATTAATCTTATCTATCGATTTTTGAACGGCTTGGGTCCCTTTCCTTGGAGCACGTCAATATAATAATATAATTGACGTCCTATACAACCAACACAACCACATTACTGTACGTTAGAAGTTAAATGTAAAAAAATCAAGGTGGTGGTAGGACATGCCGAGACAAGCATTTTCGGTCTTGGGACATTTTTCCGCAAATGGCCGAGCTACAGGCGTCAAAAACTGCCCGCACCGTTTAAATTTCGTGTTCGGACCGGCCGAATGTAACCTTGGATTTAATTATGTGTCATGGAGGCTAAACAAGGAGTCCGATCTCCATGTATACAAATATTTTAACAAAATAAAATCAGAGCCGTTAGTGGTGAAAAAAAAACAAATACTTTGTGCGATTTTGAATATCCGATTTAGTAGGCAGGTTTTGCCGATTTCCCCTATTGAGTTCGTATTTCCTGTGTAGGCTCCATGCTATGGGTATTGATTAATGACGTAGATTCTGTCACTTTCAGTAGAATTGAGATTAATTATCTGTCACATTAAGTGTGTAGCTGAATTTTTATAACTTGACCCCTACTTTCATATCCAAGCCTCAGAAGCCATGCACAGTTGGCTAGAGAGCCGATTTAACGAGCAGAAATTATTTGTTTAAGTAATTCTTAGTTAATGTTTATTTTTTTGGTCTACTTTATGAAATTTTAATAAAAATTACATTTTATTATCATTAGAAAAACAACAAAAGTATCTTCGTGTCATGGCAAAATTAAGATCTATAGTTTTAATGAGAAAGTTACAAAAATATAACTAAACATTTATAAAATAAAAATTATGGTTAATTATGATTATGGTTGATTTTAACAAAAAAAATGTAATTTTGATTAAAATTTTATCAATTAGACCAAAAACATTAAATAAGAATTACTTCAACAAATAATTTCTGGGCGTTAAATCGGCTCTCTAGCCCTCTGTGCAACGAAATAAAACCGTTTTTTTAACAGAAAACTTAGTCAATTGTGAGAAAAATTGACTTTTTCATTTTTAGCGTTAAATCGGTCAATGTGCAACGAAAAAAAAAACAGAAAAAATAGTACATTTTTAGAAAAATTGACACTTGCATTTTTTTCATTTCATTTATAGGGTACCTAATAAGAAAAAAATGCAAAAGAATTTGTTTTTTAATTTCCAAATTTGTACGGATAATATCCGTACACTGATAAAAAAGTGAATTTCTGACGCTGCAGCGCTCTGATTATAATCATATAATATTATGATTATAATAAATTGTTCATTGTTTTGACATTTACTTGATGAACATAAATGTCGTTTTATTTCACACATCAATTTATAAAATTATAATTTTGCAATTTAACTTTATAAATTCATTATTTTGTAATTGGATATTTTTAATGGACTTCCTTTTGCCGACAGTATATTTAACATTTACGTTTATTTCCTTAAATTAATTAAATTCAATGTTTAGTTTTATTTGTTTTGTTGTGGATTTTTTTGTTAATTTGTTGATTTGCTACTTTTAATAAAATGTGTATATTTTCCAAAAAAAATTCAACTTATCCCAAAAAAATGCTAATTTTTCCAAGGACTGGGAAAAACATGTTATTTTTGTATAACCTGTTTATTAGAGTCCGGATATCGTAAAGAATGTCCGGAGTCCGGTCGAATTACCGAACCGGACACCGAATGACTGGATATAGCGCAAAAATTACTATTTTTCCTGTTCGTTTCCCACAGAAAATAAGATATTAAAATATTTCAAAATTACAATGCGCACATCGAACGGTCTACTTTGATAAATCCACAGTCCACAACCAGAGCCATCTGTCGCTTCACAAAATGAGTGATATATGGTTTCATTGTGATGTTGATGCACATACTGCTTATTCGCTATATTTTGTCACTTTATAAGTGGGGGATTTAATATAAACACTGGGACGCAAAATTAACGCATAGGGTCAAGTGGTGTAATAACGAGACGCTTTTTAAATCTTTTAATTTTTTTATACTAAAGAATACTCCAAACGGCTCGAAAATTGTATGTAAGATGATAACTTTTCATGTAGAATATATATCCGCATACCTATATGTTAAATTGCAAAACACGGTGCTGTTCTGAGAGGTGATTTTTGGACTTTCTGTGAAACCTATTTTTTTTTATATTCTTGTTAATTAGGTCATAACTAAAATTTTAAGAGCAAAATAAAAATTTGACGGTTAATTTTGTTTTAATTGGATGTTTATTAAAAATATGTATGCACACTTTCAATTCTCCAATTAAAACTTGCGATTTTATTTAAATATTATCATAACTTTTTAAATCAGATTAAAGATTAGTTAATTTCCTAAAAAAGGACAAGGTCTATACATTTTTTATATATTTTACTGTTTTGTTGTAATACACGTTTAAAGTTTTAATTTAAGGTTAAATGTATAGTATACATTTATTAAACAATAATTCTAAGGGTGACACATTTTATTTAGGGCCGATTTATTCATTTTTGATTTATTTGACGAATAATTTCTTTGGATACTAGATATTGCCAAGACATGAAAGTTATCGGCCTGATAAAGATGAATAAACCGGTCCTTAGTTAACTTTCATGAATTTCTTCGTAACTTTTACTACAATTTTTCATTTTTGTTTATAAAAAACACTTTAAAAAACTAAACAATATTATAGAATACGTATACTGAAAATGACAATTCAAACATCAAATAAATTTTTAATAGATCTAAGTTTCATGGCAACCTTTAAGGATATATTAATTAGGGGAACATAAATGTATACGTCAAAGGTTAGATTAAAAGTTTGAACGTTTATTGCAACAAAACAGTAAAATATATAAAAAAATTGTAAAAACCTTTTTTTTAGTTATGCAAATATTAAATATTTAAATTAAATCGCTAGTTTTAATTGGATAATTGAAAGAGTGCATAATATTTTTAATAAACAGCCAATTAAAACAATTCAAACCGTCAAATTTTTTTTATTTTGCTCTTAAAATTTTAGTTATGACCTAATTAACAAGAATATAAAAAAAAAATAAGTTTCACAGAAAGTCCAAAAATCACCTCTCAGAACAGCACCTTGAAAATGTACCTAAGAAAATACTTATAATGCACGCCAATGGTGTAAAATGGATGTTTAGGATATATTAAAACTTTTTAAATTTTGTTTTTTTAGCTAAAAACATATACACAACAGTTTTTAATACAATGTAAAAAAAACTCTGTGTAAACCAGAGATATATCTTTGGTGTAAACACATTTACCACGAGTTAAATTATTAAATATCTCTGTTTTTTGTATGCTCGTATTACGAAGTTCCAACGTTATTAAGAATGTTTAAAAAGAAAATGGCCCGAAACGCACGTGATATAAGAAATCTTTTGCCTGAGAAATATGCTGCTGCCGTAGCACTTGTGGAAACTGGCTTGCCACAACTTCAAGTGGCATTACGATTTGTAGTTATACAATCTAGAGCACTGACACGGTTTTGGGAGACTGGTAGTAATCAAAGAAGAGCTGAACAAGGACGACAAAGGATGACAACGAATAATCAATCAATCAATTGATTTTTGCGACTGCAGACGCTACGAAATCGATGCCCAACAAGCACTGCACTCCATCAGGAATTTTCTAGTCGGTATAATTACCGTATTCGTCAAGATATACTGCTGCTGGAACTGGTCCCCTACTAACCGTAGACCATCACAGGCAACGTCGCACTGTGTCGTATTTGACCTGTATAGGTGACCAAAAGTCGATTTCTGAAGTTACCCTTACAGCAAAAAAATATACATAAAATTGATCATTATGCTTTTCTTGACAATGTACAACCATTTGTTTATTTATAAAATATTATTAAGGACCGTGACGTATAAAATTTTAAAACAATGCACAAACACATTTTTTTATATAAATAACTCGCGCTTGGGAAATATGCGATTAAAACTATAAATTTTAATCAACAGGAGTTATATTTGGTAGATTGCTTTAAAATAAATGTCTTTTAAGGTATAACGTTAAAAATTAAAAAAATATTTTATTTTATATATAGTAATAGCCGTCCAAATTTTGTCATTTTTTTAACGTACATTCAAGCAAACTTTT